GACTACGAATACACATCAACCATGGCAGTACAAGTAACAATGATAGATATGTACGCAGAAGGTACAATTATCACAGTACTATACACATACCTCGTAAGGAATCGACTTGAGGAAAAGTTCTTGCCTTAAAGAATCTGACTCCGATCTTCTGCGCGCGAAGCCAAGCCCCAACCATTGAGCCTTCGGAGAGAACTTGGCGCTTGAGGCATTTTAAGTGACTTAATTGACGTATAGCAAAAAATTTTTTAATTAAATGAGAGATTTTAATGCTACCAACGGTATGATTAGATAGTTCTATTTTATTTTAACATGCTGCTATATACAAGTAAACTGCGCAAAAAGAAACTTTGTTTGTCCAAAATGGAGGATGGTACAGTTCAGAATAAAGGCTACGGGACAAGCATCGAAGTTTCATAAAGGAAACATTACACCAATTTTGACAGAGGTTCGATTCGAAATATTTTCGCCAAGAATATTCCTGCGTGAAATATGGAATTGTTTCCACCCGATGATTTTGAAATATAAGGTGTGAAATACCTTCACCACTCCGTGTCAATATTTATCTCTATAGCCTAATCTATAATCTTTGGCATAGGAAAGATACCGAGACCACTGTATTAGAAATGTAGACTTAAACTCATATTAATTATCTGACAGTATGAGCAAATTTCTCAGAAATAAATTCATTTAACTATTTAATAAATTCATTTTAACTATTATAAGTCAGCGATAAAAAACTGAATTTTCACTCGTATCACTATGCATACTTTTTGGACAAGCAAATTACACGGAAAGGATAATTCAAGCCAGACTTTGCAATGATTAATCGGAAAGAAACTCAACGCCAGCGCGCGCCAGCCAACATAACAGGACAGAGATTAAGGAAACTTCGCTAAGTACACGTAATTTTTCGTACTTACGTTCAAAAAGTTACCTATTGCGTAAGTCAGTCAAAATTTGGCATTAACAAAACTGTCTTACGCAAGACTGATCTGAAAAGGTATTATCGAAACCATCCAACTAACTGACCAATCAGAGGCTTTGAATTTGCTATTCTAGCTCCTGTCGACTCAGTGCGCAGTACGCGTGGATGAAAGGAGGTTGTGCCTTGTCAGCGGCATCTGCGTTGACTGACTAGGGAGCATATGGAGAAAAGTCAGTGAGACGTTGTCCAAATATCATAGACAACGCATTGATTGTAATTTTTTGCAATCAAGGCAATAAATTACATTATCCCCATTGAAAATTAGAGGATAGGACTTTTTTTCGAGAGCCACCTAAAATTTAGAACATTTTGCGAGTTGGAGTTCAAATATCAGCGGAGAAAGAAAGGAATTTGTGTACGTGGCTTGAAAAATGGCTGGCTTTTCAACCTCAACTTAATTTTAAATCAAAAAGGCATGAAGATATTGTTTCAGTGAATGATCGTAAAACTCCTAGTTATAAATATCAAAATTTGCTTTTAAGATTTCAGGCTTAGGAGGCGTTCGGCCCTACTTAGCAACGAGCGTAGCCTGGAACCTCAAATTATAGCACAAAAAAAGAAAAGGAATTAGCTGGCATTAACTCAATTTCTTTTCCAAAAACACCGTTTAGCACGATCAAATATCATGTCTTTATTAAATTGTTGACAAAATTCTATCACAATTCACCGTGTTGCAAGTAAATCAATAGTTTTATATTGCTTTGGCGCACTCAAAACTTGTACGTAACTCCACTTACCACACCTCCAAGCAGGCGTAGAGCCATGTTCTGTTTCTTGTACGTAGCTTCCCGCGCAAATGTTTTGATAATACCACCGCTAGAGTAACGTCATCATAGCAGCATTTACGCCACACGTAAGTCGCTACGTGTACTTAGCGATGTTTCGATAATCCGGCCACAGGTGTAGATGTGAATGTATTTAATCACTCGCTGCGCTTTGAATTAAGGGGCCAGGCCGCAGCCGACTATAAGTCAAAGTGAATTTAGGTAAAAGGGGCAACATGAGAATATTATAAAACTCATTGAATCGATTAAACTATTTATACTTAACGATACAATGAATTAGTCTCAATTGCTCGCAATATATTAAGAACAGCAAGTTGGCGCATACGCAAAATTCGCAAAAAATTTACGCAATATACTGGGTGAGCATGAAAAATTGGATTCGTTATCATCTTTTGGGAAACTGCACTTTTTTCAACAAAAATTTCCATTATTCCTCGGACGATTTATTCCTGGAGCAGTCTAATACATGCCCAGTGGCTTCAATTTGGCTTGAAAATTTTGTGAACACCTTGCTCCTATTAAGTTCACAAGTGCCTACCGAATTCATGGAGATATTTGGCACTGCCCAGTTTGGACAAACGGTTATCGGTGGCTTACAAGAGGTTCACCCGCAGTGCGTAATCGATGATTTATACCCTATAAATCATCAATAATTCATCGATGGCTGCCACCTCTACTCGCCACCCTCTCGATTTATAAGTGTAGTATAGTAGATTTTTCGCAGATGTGGCCACCTACTGTTACGCCACTTATAATCTACCATCGCCACCTATAATCATTGATGCGCCGCCCTTAACTATTATTTGGGTATCCTGTGATCTAGACCATTTGCTCTGATGATGTAAGACTCCTACCTTCGTCGGCGTTTATCCCGAGATAATTGAGTAATTGTTTCTAAGATGAATGGTAATCCTTTCGCCTACTTGATGTTATCGATTACTAGAAGCTCCACACTGACTACGCATGACCAGAGTCATTTGGTAGATTACGTGAAGACTGCATGATATTTTCTTTGAACTCGCGTAACTTCAGTAATCCCGTACGGGTTTGGCTAGTAAGCTGCCAGGACGACTATATATAACTACCAGCTACATGGAAATACGCCGTTGAAATCAGACTGATTCACGAACTTATTAAAGTTCTTGATATCGAATGCCATACCTGCGTTATCGGAGGTAGGATTAATGCCCCTAATAAATGGGTAAATTTAAATCTGAAAAATCTACCAAATTCATACTGATCCTGCGATCATAATCCTACTGCCCGTTAGGGTGCTGTAAGCATTACACTAGGGAGATGAAGAATCTCGGTATTATTACACTAGGGAGATGAAGAATTTCGCTCTTGCAAATGCCAAGATGAGCCTGGGTGCCAGCCATCTGCTAGAAAAAGTGAGCTGAGGGCAAGGCAATTTAAGTTCACGAGCTCGTCCAGGGACGAAGTGTACGACTCGACATCAATGCTTGACATCAAATGGAGGAAGCGACCATGGTTTACCATGAATTAAGAAAAAATGAGTCGTCTTCTTACAGCTAACTTATGGGAAATATACCAGTAGCTGTCAGAACTGATAATCACTCAACATTTTTGACGTTCACAGGTTCACTGTTACAAATGGCGAAGCCAGAAATGCGGTTCAGTCTTCCACTACATCTGAATGCATACGTTTTTAACTTTTCATGCGTTGTGTGAATATAAAAGCAAACTTGAGTCACGTTAAGTTCTACATGTCATCATGCACGGCAATGGAAATAGTATGCTCGCGGATACACAACTGCCTTCCGATGGAGAGGTACTGAGAATAGTCACGCGAGACCTAATTCTAGTACGGGCTTGTTTCGAAGCCAAACATTTGAATATTATTCGCATAATATCAACAGCTTCCAGAGAGCAGTACATGGAACTGTACAGGATCAGTTCCATGTGGTGCTTTTAATCTAGTGCTTTTTGTTTGCTTGTCAGAAAGCACTAGAAAATCTAGGAATTTTAGTTAGCTTGTCTGCAGGTAAACCAAGTGTAGTTGGAGGCACCGTAGTATCAACTTTATACTCAAACGGAGCTAGCAATAATATTCAGAGCATTATCTGCTAACTCTTGAAAATGATTTTCAATGCCTTAACCGACGCAAGGAGCCAGCTCACTTTGAATATGTGGAGGGGGTCGCCTGCCAAAGACCACCACTGCCCTGGATATAATGGACCATCATGATTCCTGCCTTCCGGAACGTAGCCTTCAACACTTCAAGCCGTCCGTATCTAGGCCGTGGGTCGAACCGGGGTCGCCTGCCGAAGACCACCACTGCCCTGGATGTAATGGACCATCATGATTCCTGCCTTCCGGAACGTAGCCTTCAACACTTCAAGCCGTCCGTATCTAGGCCGTGGGTCGAACCAGCCCTCGGTCGAACGGCCACTTGTCGAGGGTCGATAAATTTTGGAACAGAATTATGCTATCTGAAACCTAAATTGAGATCCGGTGAACGTAAAATTACATAATTTAACGATGCCTGGAAGTCATATTCGATCCGCGGCCTGGTGGTGCACGGCAGGTGGTTGTTAAGGCCGGAATAGGACAACGCCGAGTGGTGCACGGCTGATTGGTGTAGGTCCGGAGAGATCTAAGGCGTTCGATTCAGGGCTTATTGGTGCACAAAATTGGTGGTGCACGGCTGCGTTCCCTGTGGAGGACCGTCCATCAATCCATGTGACGTTACACTAGCACGTAGCTACAATGCAGGCAGTGCGTTTGAGTAACATTTCCTGAAGAACCCAATTCATCTGGACCACAATCCTGGAACTTGAGTATGAAAAACTAATTTACGTTAACACTGGAGGATCATGGAACTGGACGGTCGCCTGTTGTGATGAGCAAGTTGACGTGAAGATGTTCGAGTTTCGGCTTTTCCATCCATGTTGTGCGCCCAATCTCTCGCCTATGGAAAGTTGCTCTTCACAACCCTTATTTGCGAGTTCTGCCCTGGCTTATCCACGTGAACAAGATTTTAGCACCGCAACAGTATTAGCACCCTACTGTGCACGTAGGCGTGCAGCGCTGATTAACTTTCACCGAAAGCTAGAATTTCCGGGTAATTCACCATTACGCGTGAGCTAGTTAAGCCAAAATTATAATTTCAGATTCATACAAATCAAGGTTATTCCTTAGCGGTGGGGGTTTCTATTTCCTAGGATCATTAACAGTCACACAAGGCAGGATCCACGAGAAATTCGAAAGCGATTGTCATGTTTTATTAAAATAAATCAACAGTTTAATGTGAGACAGACAGCAGAAAGCTTCTACCGCCTGTCAAGTCATGGTAATAAGACTAACAGATATAAAAGTTGACCCGGGACTGCAAGTTTTTTTAACTAGAATGTATATCCACAGCCTGCAACAATGTTCCGACTCAATCGTACGTTCTGATCCATCGCAGAGTGATAGAATATTAGGTTGATCGTTCACCATACACCAGGACAGTCTGGGAACATAACATTCCAAATTCAGACATCAGGACGTAGCTCTATGACGAGGCACAAGTGCAGTATGAATTATATCTGCAGCTCCAGCTACTAAAAACTTGCCCGATAAGTATATAGTACCAAATTGACGGCTCACAGAAGCTAGCTGCTGCTCCTGGGTAAAAGCGAAGCTAAGAATATAGAACAATTAATTGTTGACAGTGCAAGTTTCCAGTACGTAACAGAGGTAGCAGGGCTGATCCAGAAAGTATCCGCACTCCTAGCATTCATGCATTCGCGATCACTAATCAAATGCATGTTCTTGTCAAGCTGACCAACAGTCCCGTGTCAATGACGTTTTATGAGCGAGGCGAAAGACTCGGATCCTATTGTGGACCGCTAGCTTGACTGATAACTCCCACTTTCATATCCGGCTGATGAAAGTATACATAATTCTGATCCAGTGCACGAATTTACAACAAATTTCTGATGTAGGGAACAATCCTCCGCCATTCTGCCGGGTGTTTGCTCTGCATACCGGAGACAGTGCGGCGCATGATGACGCTGATGTGCTGCTGCTGACGCGGGGAACAGCGGTGACACCGGCCGCTCTTGCCCAGGCGACGCACTTGCCCTGCCACAGGAGTACGAACGGAAATTTAATGTCTAGAAAAATGCTAGCCGTATATCAAGTAGAGCCTTACTAGAAGCTATTAAAACAAACGTTTGAAAGTGAAATGTGTCAGGCAGGATCACGAACCAACCACAGAACCGACTGTAGCACCAGGGACGATGAATCTGCCAATGCCTTGTCAACCCGGAGGCACTTCAGGTCCTTATACTTTTCAAAAAAAAAAGTTACGAGATCGTATATGTTCACGAGCCAATAATTGACGGCGTTTGAAGCAAAATTCACGAATCATCGACAAGAAAATAGAGCACAAGTACTTACGTCCACTTGACGACTATCTAGAGCGCTGTCGGTGAGAGTGCATGAAAATTTGGTTCAACACAGGAAAGTTTCATTTAGTGGTGGAATACTGCCTGGCATCATGACAAGTATTGCAAACAGAACCACCAATCTGTTTCAATGAGACTATTCTAATCAACAGCAGCGGGAACCAGGTTGCTGAAATTCCAAGTTACATATTCGGTGCTTTCAACCCGAAATGGGAATCTGATCTTTCAGAAGGGTAACTCACGAGCGAAGGAAAGAGCACCGCGAGACCGACAGCGCGCCTCGTTCTCGAAGCACTCTACGAGCTGCAGCACAGCGGCCCTGTCGGCGAGCACCATGTCCACCGTCTGGGGTGTGATGGTGGCCAGATCCACGTCCTCCGGGAAGTCCTGGGGCACCATTATACTGCGGAACTGTCCTCCCACGGACCACAGGATCGCCAGCACTAGTATCACGATGGTGGTTGCGGCAAGTGTATTCCTGTAAAAAATGTTGCCCGTTATTTCATAGCAGTGGCGGCTACTATAGCAATAATATCTTTGCTTCGAGAAATTAATTCCGAGTAGATTGCAGCAACAACAGATCTATATCTAAATAGACCGTAGTTGCATAGTTACACTAGTAATAAATCTTACTTGGTGGAATTGCCAAGTTTAATTTTAGCTTGTTTATTGCACAGGGTGCCATACCGCTAAACCATTGGTTCCCAAACTTTTTCAGGCTGGCGCCCCCTTTGGCTCCCTAATTAATTTCTAGCGCCCCCCACAGACATACGCCACTTTCTTGAAATTTAGTATGCTGAAATTTTAAAAGATAAAGGTTAAACACAAATGTGTATTTCACAAATAGAACCCCATTTAGTGAACCAATATGTTTTTCAGCTGTTTTAACTGTTTCAGCACTAGAAGCCAAGGACTTCGCAGGCGAATTTACGGCCGGACTCTGTGGCCGGTCTCACGACCAATCACCAAATTCAATTATCAAGTAATATTTCCCAAACTAATGAACGCAGCTCTATGAAACTTTGAACAAGCATTCATCAGAACATAACGGTGATGTTTAGCTCGTAAATTTTTTTAAATTTCACCTTCATTCGTGAGTTCCGTGTATATTGTGAAACAGGCCAAAATTCGCATTGATCAAAGAATTTCTTTCAAACTATTGAACAGATTTGAACGAAATTTTGAATATACATTCCTAACTACAAAGCTGTGATTTTTTAGCTTATAAATTATTTTTCGATTTTACCTTCGTTTGCGAGTTTTTTTCATTTCACCGTCATTCTTGAATTCACACTTCCTTATATTCGGCCCGTATCGCCGGGCAATTTGTCGCTTAAATTCGCGGCGATCAATAAATTTATTCTAAAATACAGAATAGATTTCAACAAAACTTTGTATAAACATACATAACCTCTCAACAGTGATGTTTAGCTCGTGACAATTTTTCCATTTTGCTTTCGTTTGCGAGTTATACAGATATAGTAGGAACGACCAGCTTTTCTACCGGCCGATCGATGGCTTCTATAAATCAGAATCAGTATACGTATAGCCATATAACTCGCAAACGAAGGCAAAAAGAAAAAAATGTAAACATCACCGTTGCTGAGGTTAGGTATTTAAATACTGAGTTTCGTTCAAATCTGTCCAGTAGTTGGAAAAAATTTCTTGATTACTGCGAATTTAAGCACAAATTGCTGTTTAAATCACGAATGAAAATGAAATGAAAAAAAAAAAAAACTCGCGAACGAAGGCACGATCTTAAAATTTTTAGTTAGGACTGTAAATTCAAAATTTTGCTCGAATCTGTTCAGTAGTTTGGAAGAAATTACATGATCACTGTGAATTTTGGCCCGTATATAACTATGGCAAAAACAAACGATGACAAAATTCAAACAATTTTCACGAGCAAAACATTACGTTAGGTCCTACTGAATATGTGTACCATGTTTCATCGAGTTAAGTTCATTAGTTTGAGAGATATTCCCTGATCATTGAATTTGGAAATTGGCCGTGAGACCGGCCTCGAGTCGAGCCGTTAATTTGTCCGAGACATAAACCCATGAAACCTAGGTTAAAAAAAAAAAAAAACAGAAAAAAACCATCGCTGGGAGTCATGTGCTGCACGTGGTGTGTACAAATCGTCTAACAAACATTCGAACTTCTGACATTGACTTACCCCTATCGCCCCCTACCGCCCTCTTCTTCATTATCGCCCCCCAAAATCTTTCCGCTGCCCATAGGGGGGCGATATCGCCCACTTTGGGAACCACTGCGCTAAACTGAGCAAGGATACAAGTGTTCAATCGTTATCCAAGATAGGAAGTTAGGCTTCGGCGAAGACTATTTGCAGTGCAAGATTCAATACAGTAGATACAGAGAAACTAACTCCTCAAGGCAGTTATTAATAAACAGAGCTAAAGCTGACATGGCGACGGCTTAAATACTATATAATAGCAGACGAAGTTTTCATTAGCACCGGGGGGAGGGGGGAGGAATGTCAAAGCTTACACCTATGTAGTTACAGGTAAAGAAACTAGACCTTCCCCATTCGAATTGTTCTGTTGAAGAAATGTGCATTAGGATTATTAAAGTCAACAGTAGAAGTTGATTAGTACTAACGGCAACCACAATATCAGGCTACAAAGCTGAACCTGCCCTAGGTAATATAAGTAAAGCATGCAGGCACACTGAATAAATAGAAATCGTTATCCTCACTTTGACTAAACGCAAACTAGAGTACAAGATACTTTTGCTACCGAATCTTTCCTAACGTTTTGATCCAAGTTTCACAGGCATGGATCTCCGAAACTCAAACAGCGTAACGCTACCGAAACTTTAGACGCAGTTTTCACGATTACGCAGTCAATAACATAACAGTGACGTCGGCTCTGAAGTGTAGGCCTGATGTGGCCTGTCGCCACATCAGGCAAGAAGTACGTCAAGAAAGAAGAAGTATGTATGAAGTACTAGAGTATGTCAAGAAGTACGTTGCGATACAGACAATTCAATTTCCTTTAACTAAGTACCATAAATAAGGTGCTAACTACGCTCGCTAAAGTACTCCTCTCAACACTCACATTGTGAGATTTTCGAAGAGCAGATATCAAATGAAGGCACGTTTGATAGGTGGGTCCAAGTTATAGCCAACTCACGGTGGAGTCGTGTGTGATATAACCTGCTACAAAGGCTCGCGATGAGCTCCTTCCGCGTTACTTTTAACGTCAAAGATCTAGGCTACTCACAAAAATCTGTCGATTTGGTAAAGAGGTTAGAAAAAGTTTGAAAAAATCATTTTATGTTTTCGACAGTTTCGTATGTGTGAATTTTAAATTTATTTCAATCCCGTTTTACATAAATCCAATCGTCATCATCAATACGTACTCTCATGAGGAAAATTAGTTCCACATTCTTGCGGTTACTACCGCAGTCAAGTCTGTAATTCTCGGCTACAAGTAAACTGACTAAACTCATCCACAGCTTCATTATCTTGCAATCTCTGTCAGATTCGTTGTTTTTAAACGGACCCTGAAGAATCTAAGCCTTTCAATTAATTCCTGAGAACCGGAGGCCTTTTATCCAAAGACTCAAGATGCCTCACATTCAATTTCCAGGTACCTAGGCAAATAGGCTGCGAATTTACGTTTGATTAAATGAGTGTATAACCTTAATCTGTTCTTAAAAAAAGACATGCAACATCATCAGTCATTGTGCCTACACATGTGGGTGTGAATGGTGATAAAAGATTCAAATGATTCCGAGATTGTTGCAATCTACTCCAGTTATTTTCTAGAAACGGCAAATTCCTATTTGATGCCGTGAATCTCTTAACGAAACAGAAGCGAGTCTGATTTTTGTAATTATTTCATTATTCCTGCTGTGATTTGTCTAGGAGTCGTTTTGATGTCATTAAATGAGTGAAGCACTGTTCACGAGTGACGCCATGACTCAATTGTCGGAGAAAATTTTGGAGATGGTCAGCCTTTGATCTCAAAACCCCTGACTAGGTTAATCAAATATACAATCCAGTCCCTTGGCACTCACATAAGCAATTTTTCACAATTCCAACGTGAATTTAATGAAATTAGCCGTTGCAAATGCTCGTTGGTACCTCGAAGATGGTAATAACTTGAGGGTCAACAGTTGTTAATGTTGTAATATCATGGATTTTTTCATAATTAATGTTAAAATTTCGACTTGACAGGATTAAGCTTCTTTATTAAGCTCACACCTGAACGCTGCCTGTACACTTTCAAAAACTGTGAGTAGCGAATAACGGTACTTATTCAATATGGATTCGAAACAGCAAACCAACAGAATTTCGAAAATTTCCAAACTCTAAGATGATAAATATTTTCAAATCTCATTCATCTAACAAAAATATCTAACGTTAAGGAATTCGGATGCTTCGACTTTTGAATCATTAATTGCAATGCATGAAAACGCAGTCAATGAAAATCCTGTTCCTTCTGCTGCGTTATCGGACACTCAGAGGTAGGCTGACTCTTCATTGATGATAGCTTGAAGACTGTCATTTTTAAACATCATTAATGCGATCAAGGACAATTTTTTCTATTCAGACTCCGAATCTTTTTTCATTTTTGTTGAAAATTCCTCAATGGAAAACGTGATTGTTATTCTTTCTGAATAGTTGAATGCAGTTGCAATTTTGTTTTAATTGAAAACGAAGTGATGTAAAAAATCTGTAATAATTTCAAAAAAACAGCGCATTGATAATAGCTACTTATTTTCAGATTTCAAATAGATCCATTCAGTATTGAAGGACTTCTGACTGTTTCGATTTGCGCGTAAAGCTAGGTTTTGCTTTTGAGTTGGCAGGCGAGTTCGGAGAAATGTCGATTCTGTAGTTGCGATAACGCACGCAAAGACATTTATGAAAAAATTATAGCCTAATGAAAACTTCAATGAATATTAGTTCCGGTTATTAGGAAGCACCATTTTGGGATAACGATTGCAAGCATTACATAAAAAATGCGATCAGAAACACTTGAAAACCACAAGTACGAATTAATACACAAGGAAAAAACAAATTATATGCGTACACTTCCTACTTTCTTCAAGACCTTGTCCCTAGAAGCAATATTCCTAGGCTACATAAGACGATACATTCGTTACATGGTCATACAACTGCGCCGCGCCGGATTTGCGTACGCTTCATTTTTATCTGTTAAGTTTTAGTCCTATTCCGTCCTGCACTAATCAAAATGTGAGTTTCTCGGGGAGAATTACGAATTGGTTTGACCTAGGGTTGAGATCTGATAAAAACTGGTCTGGGACTTGGAGAGATTCTTCTAAGTTATTAACGTTTGTTCAATATATAGGGTATTGGCGTTACTTGTGGGCTTGCAGGTTAGGGCTTAATCTAATAAAAAATGTACGTAAATTGGTTTAAAACCACTAGAATTCTAATTTTCCATCGCGATTTTTACGGACGACTGACTCGTCATCTGATGGACAGTAAGGTCTGACAGGCTAGTTACCCATTTCGGTCAGATTATCGGCATTAATATTTGTTTTAAATCCAAACAAGTCTCGTTGTCTTCTAATTACCGGAAGTTTATTGAAGATGCTGATGGATGAAACCGTTGCACTCTTTCTGACGGGGAACTTTGCTGCCAGGACTTATATTAAAATATACCCGGCGAGTGCAGCAAAATGCTGCACAACTGCGAACTTTAAGCAGTGTTGGTCTTTCAATGGGTTTTCGCTGGAGTTGCTTTGTCTAACTCCAACTGCATAGCTTTGGTGTGAACCGATAGTGAAAGTGGTGAATCTTTAGCTTGAATATTGCAAACTCTCGTATACATGCGTACATAGGGTCAGCACTGAGGTATTTATTGAATTGTAACTCCTATTGCTCGGGTAATCTGGATCACCTTACAGGAACTTCCTCATCACAACTATTATACTGATATTAGTGCTAGTGGTCCTGGCCAACGGTGGTTGGACAGTTTCGCCACATGGTACCTAAAGACTTCAAAGATGCTATGAAAATACCTCACTGATGCTATGAAATAACGGGCAACATTTTTTACAGGAATACACTTGCTGCAGCTACAATCGTGATACTATTGCTGGCGATCCTGTGGTCCGTGGCAGGACAGTTTCGCAGTATAATGGTGCCCCAGGACTTCCCGGAGGACGTGGATCTGGCCACAATCACACCTCAGACGGTGGACATGGTGCTCGCCGATAGGGCCGCTGTGCTGCAGCTCGTCGAGTGTTTCGAGAACGAGGCGCGGTGTCGGTCTCGCGGGGCACTCTCTTTCGCTCGTGAGTAACACATAGTTGCTGGGCTCTTTACTGGAAGTTGAAATGTTTTATCCTATATCATACTTGGGGGTATGCCAGCGCATTTCGCACCACTTCGGTTACGAGGCTATAATTCATCAGTACCTTGTTCAGGTTTGCCTACAGCAAGAATGCTGAAGGCTTGGTAAATCTCTCTCCCAATGCAGTTAATGTTCACGATGTACACCAATTCTAACGCCTTCTGGGTATCCTGCAGATCTTTCGAAAGTGTTATTGGCATAGATTAATGAACTTCATAAAGACCGTAACTTTAATTTGTATATCGAATACCAATCAATACTAATGCTGAGATTGTACTTAACGTTCCCCTCAAGTTTACCCAATTCTTGATAGTTTTCCATCCAGCCCATCTTGGAGCCCTTGCGCTAATAACATTGCCGTAGTTATATACGCCTCTTCATTGCTTGTCAATGACTCCATGCTGAAATGTCGGTCCTCCAATTCCCTTCTGTCTGTTTCAGGGCAAGTGCATCGTCTGGGTAAGAGCGGTCGGTGTCACCGCTGTTCCCCGCGTCAGCAGCAGCACATAAGCGTTATCATGCGCCGCACTATCTCTGGCATGCAGAGCAAACACCCGGCAGAATGGCGCCGAATTGTACCCTTTATCAGGAACTTGCTGTAAGGTCTTCTCTTGGAATGTGATTCTTAGCTCTGAGCCTTCAGTCTGGCGAGGCTGAAGAATTTCAGAAAAGATATTGCCGACCACAGGCAACTAGAATCACACGCGAATCTGGTCAATGGGGCTTTGAGCTTTAGGAGGTAGAAGGCTTGGCCAGCTCCTCGCCCGTCAAGTGGTTGAAGTCGTGAGATTTGTTCAGTAATGGATACGATCCTCTACCCGACATTGTTGGATAAACTTGAAATTCAAACACGACAAGCGTCCTGAAAAAAAACAGACGTGCCAAATGTGGCCAGAATTTCTTCCAACCTTGTTGATAGTTTCAGTTGTGTAAAAGGCCTGTGAAGTATCGGCTTGAAGACTTGAACTGGAAGGGATCCTGGCGCCAATGGTGCAACTTGGTCTCGGCTTGTATCGTAATCTCTACCTTACCTTGGCGTTAGAGCCAAGATTCTTGAAAGATTTTTTGTGAATGTTGAAGTTTAATCAAGTAATGATTATAGACTTGCTGCGGTCGCGAGAGCTTCTGGCATATTCGTGGGTTGTTTGAAAATAACCGCATATGAAATGGCACTCGTAGATAATGCTTCCATCTCTTTTCTATTTATAAGACTTGACCGAATTTTAAATCTTTCGGTGATAAGTCACCGAAAGACATATTGTTGATGAATTTTTATAAATTGTTGATATAGAACGCCTTCGTGTTATCTTTTTGCGCTGCAGGGCGGGTCAGAGCGAAAGTTCCTATAGTGACGCCTGACTTTCCTAAACATAACTAACTTGCAGAAACTAACTGTCAATAACTTGGACAAACATTTGCAACTATGAACCGAGACTATATAAACGCGCTAGAATAGTAACGCTTCCGACTAAGTGATAATAGGTTTTTTCTGAAGCCTTGTTTCAATTGCAAAGAGCTATAGTAACTAATAAGCTCCGGTAAGGCTCACAGCTGGTACTGGTCAGTGCGGATGAGCATGGGAAATGTGGCGGACGCTATGATTTCTCCATGCGGTATGACGTGCATTCAAATTGACAAAAGTTCCTTCACTTTGCTTTTTTATTTGGTCTTCGCGGAATAACGAATGTTGTCCAATGCTGCTCTTTCACACCTGTGAAGAAAATCCTGAAGTGGGCACGCCTTCAATGATCACTGATTCGTGCTGAAATTTCGGACATCTTCGACCTCGTACTAGCTTCAATACTTCAGAAGCTTCGAAAATTATTCGCGGCCTGAATTAGATTGAACCAATCATACTTGAAGTACAAACGGAAGTGCGGCGTATCATTTTAATAGTTACTGATGCAGCCTATAATGAAATTTACTTTCACAGGCGCGAATCCAGTTTCATATTTCAAGACTCGTGTTGAGAAAGAGGTGCTGAGTTGGATGAGCAAGGGGGTAAGTTTCGTGTTTCGATAGAACATTCGTTTCGCCACGACGGCCTAGCTACTTATGTAGGTAGGCCGTTCTACTTGTGTGTATTGTAGCAGAGTTAAGAGTACGGATACCCATAGATTTGAAACCCATCACCCCTGACTAAGCATACGTCGTCAAAGTTTGGTACAGAAATTATCGACGTCGACCATCTCTTTGATTTGTGTGCGAACCTCAGATGCGAGTAGTTGCAATAGCGAGATGAAAGCCGTAAGATACAATGTAGTAACTCGACGATTTGTGAAAATGTTCTGTCTGCATCAAGCGACCGGCAAAAAGTAGCATTATCTTCAGCAATATTTTTATATTTTTTTTATATTTTATATATTTTATATTATGTTCTACTATCCATACATGATCTGAAACTGAAATTTTTTCTTTTTGTAAAATATTTTTCAGATAATGCTTTAGCCCGGCCACTAGAGAAACTGACGCTGAATAAATATGAGCGCTAAAGTGTGGCAGTCCATGCATGTACGCGACGAGGCCCTTTACTCATCTCGTGTTAACCTCAAATAACTTTTTACTTTTCATATATCGTGCATAAATTAATATTCATTTCTCACTGCAAGCATTCAAAGTATTTTCACAGTCTCGGAGGTCAAATAAAAGGAAGTTTTAATTAAGTAGTCAAAGTTCTTCGTTGATTATCGTGTTAAATTTCACGTCTAAACATACGTGCGTTCATGATTTTGCTCGATAGAAATGTTGATCAATCTGATTCATACAAGAGGTATCCCAGTCTGGGTAGCACTCGGCGCCAGTACGACGAGTACTTGGTGCTGTACTCCTTGATGAAGTGGTACACGATGGCGTGCATGTGCTCCTGCTCCACCGCGTTGCACTTCGAGCAGTGGCCCTGATACCCGAGCTTCAGAATCTCTTCTGTGGAGAAAGAGCTAAGTTTCTGTGAAAATCCAGATTTTTCAATCAGCATACCGACTAATTCTCAACGATGTAGTATATTAACAATGATTTATAATATTAACAATATATTAACGATGTATAATATTAACAATGAGAAAATTGTCTTGGATCAGTAAATACTTGCAAAGGAAAACATAGATGTGAAGATACTGTGAATTATCATTAAAGATACAACTAAATTTTGTCTGATGATCTAAATATTTTAAAGGTTAGACCTAGACCTAAAGTTTACTTTATAAACCTAGGTATCGCTCATATTTTCTCCTAAAACTGCGCTTTTGATTCTTATGAAAGGACTTACTACTGTTCTTAGCATCAATTTATTTTATTAGCCTCCATGCTGTTAATGACGGAAGACCATTTCACAATGAAACTTACGTGTCCAATCGCACGTATATAAGGCACAGTATAACTATTTTTACACAGCAACGTATTCTTACTGATATGATTGCGCGCTTGGGCGTGGTTACTTAAAATGCACAAATAAAGTCATTTTGTAGCGCCAATTTTGGTTAAGTCATACCTGCTTTAGTTCTGACTTAATTCTAGTTTTTCTTGAATGCACTCATTCTTACTGATGAGGCTGCGTGCAGGCTTTGAAGTGCATGACTTGAGGTCGAGGAAGCACTCGGTGAAGAGCTCGACGTCGGGCTGGTCGGCAAGGAAGTAGTCGATGTGTGTGGTGTTGAGGTCGAGCAGCGATACATCGTCGGGCAGGTCGTTCAGACCGGGTTTTCTTGTGGTTTGAGCCACCGCCTGGCATAGGCCCACCGCAATAAATAGCACCACGATATTCCTGGTATAAGTTGATCGAATAATTGGGCGAAACATTTCTAATTTTTGCTATATGATTGGCGAAAATCTATAAATTAATTTGGGTAAAGCATTTCGAATATTTGCGATATGCTTGGCAAAATTTATCCATTAATTGGAGTGTAGCGTTTTAAATTTTCGCTATATGTCAAGGACAAGCTGATAAAGTGATTGGGTGATGCATTTCGAATTTCGGGATGTGCCTGGTAAAAGTTAAAATGTCTCTTGAGTGTGGCGAAGCATTTTGAATTTAAAACTCCCACTTAGAATAGTATTACTTCAATAAGAATGGCCAAATAATAAGAAGACCAGTGGATACTGGAAGGTATGGTCAAAATATTTCGAATATATGTTATGAAAACCGTTGAGAAGGAGCGAAAGTCTGTAAGCAAAATTCATATTTTGAGAAGATGGAATTGGTACAACATTTTATAAAAGCCTATTTTACAGAACTGTTCAAAATTAAATGGCTGCAGACTCTGATATATCCGTTAAATCAGTCAGGTGCTACAAAACTTAACATTTTATACGCGAGTCATTGCTCTTGTGTGAGCCTCTACAAATGACAAGGTAAAGCTTGAATATTGAATGTGTAAGTTCAAATAGAAATCTTTGAGCTCAACCCTTTTTTAATTAATTGTTTGCTTAGGTAAACAGAATTTATGATTTAACTTCCACTACTCCAAATCGCTCTGAAATTGCCGTGTACTCAGATTTGTTTTGTGCTCTGAATTAAATCGTAAGTGCATCCTAGGTTTTTTCAGCACGAATTGTATGAATAATTATACATGAAGTAATTCCTATACGACACATTACTTTTTCTTGAAGCATGCCGCATACTTTGGTAGGATCTATGAAGTGAGAGTTACTCAAATTTAAGCGATTGAAACGAACAAAAATATGATTAATTCTAGTACCTTATATCAAAACGGTTGAATAGTCTCTGAGAAAATAATACACTGGTGGTTACTCACATCTTCTTTCGCTGAAGCTGGACTGCAAAATGTATAAGACTTCTCAAAAAAATCTCTTATATAGCATTACAGGCCTTTCAATTTTGCAAACCACTTCCTGCTTCATGCCTTGAATGTGAATCCTGAAGCAGTAAGAAGCAGCTTACTTACGTAAGTAACTCAACCTTTACTCATCTAACTTCGTGTCTTGCATACTATTAGGTACGGTAGACTGCGAGATTGGCATTTCCGCGCCTAACTTCGCTAGCTACTTTCTTTCTATTACATGGGATACAGCAGCCAAATGTGAGCTCTCCCACTTGGCTTCTGATGTTGAAATAACATTGATTGAACGTGGTTTTAGCGAAATAAACTCGCAATCGACGTTGTTTCGACGGCATTATAGCCTGGAGCACTACAGGTGACTCTTCCATCTGAATTATCTCCTAAACTAAATGGCCGAGTCTTCTGAAACTTCAAATGCAAATGTATATCATTTAAAGAAAAACATTTTGCTCATATGATTTTTTTTTGAAAAATTGAAAGAAAACGTAAAATACCTATAACACGGCAAAATAAAGGGTCCTATAATTAATCTCCTCCTTCATTTTACGTGCTTCAATATCGAAGAAAAATGTTATTCGATTGGTAAGAAGACACTCTATAGACTCTTTGAAGCCATTTTTTCGATTTTTTTGTATGACTTTTCAGTTTCATTTCGACCCAACAAATTCATTCAACCCCATCCCCCCCTCCTCTTTTAGTGTTTTCAATATATAATCCAAACCATGCATGTTCGAATCAGAAAAAAAAGGCTTCCAGAGTCGCTCGATATGGCCTTTACGAATCGAATAATACGTCTTTCAATGATGTAGCTTGAAAACATAGGAGGCGATAGATTTTTAAGATGGCTTATTTTGTGAATTTTAATTGTACAAGGGAGCCAAATAAGTCAAATTGATTAAAAAATAGTATTAAAATCACTTGTTTGCTTGAATCACAAGTTAAGCAGGAATTTAAAAGCGAAGACAATACCCAAAAATTCGCCATATCTTTATAAGAGAAAACGTTCCGGAGTCCGTTCTCGTGTGTCATCTCGCTTCTTGCCTCCGGTGCTGCCAGTGCACACTACCTGTTCTGCATTGTACTTTGTTTAATTTAAGGTTAGAAGTGGAAACTGCGTTACTGTCATATCTTGTGCCGTTGAATTGGAATTGCTGAATATAAGTTTAAAAGTCATTTCAAGTATTCCTACATTATTTTAATTTAGATCTTTTGTCTCTAATTTCAGTTTCGTGAACATCAGCCTCTACAGTTCTTGACAGACTGCACTGATGTCCAAGTTTCATTCGTTTCTAGTTCAATAAAAATTATTAGCTGTTATATTCGTATAAATTCCTTACAAAATGGGATTTTTCTGATATATTTAATTATATAATATGGTATTTTCATAAAAGTTAAGAATGGCCATCCGTAAAAAGTATTGCATGTACATCAATGGTATTTGCTTCATTGGACGCGTCTCGTTTGCAGCTTTAAAATAGTGCACATCGCAATTAACGCAAATAACGATGTATAAATACAATTTTTAAATACAAATTTTTAATTATTGTTATATAACTGTTATTTAATAAAAGTTTAAAACTGCCTAAAGCAAAAAAAGAGAACACGCACATGCATAAAATTGGATGTGATCGATGCGTCTTCGCAGCTACATAACGAAATAAAAAAAAGGTTAATTAACTTGAATAATGATATATCAATCCAGATTTATTTAAATTAATCTCTAGAAATAATGGTTACAAAATGTTCATTTTATCTATGTTCAAAACGGCCTCACAAAAAAGGATGACAGCTATTTGCTCACGCTTTTTTGCTTTCAATTTGTTATAGCTCTTTCTACAAATGAGATAAAAAACACAAAAAAACGAAGTTTCTTCGATTTTGAGAGTAGTCTCCCCTTAATGCCACTCATAATCATCAAAAGTGGCAAATGATCGATCGGTAGGAGGTTCGTTAGTGCCGTCTGGCTCTCGATCGTTTCCTTTATCGGCATCTCTGCGTTATTTTTTGTACTAGAAAAGAGTAATGCGTGTGATTTTTCAGAGAGCGCAAAAAAGGCTTACACAGGTAATGAGTGCTACCTAGAAGGAATGCCGAATAAACTCGTATTTTTCCAACAAATCATTTACATGTATTGTATTCGCGTTCAACGTTTAAATGCTTAATGCAGTTATTCCATGAATATGAGCAAGATTAACAACGTCTTCTATGTGGAAATATTGTAAAATTTCGTTCAAAAAATGTGTTGTTTTCCATCTGAAATGTTAATGTTATCAAAACATTACAAAGCTTGCAAAAAAATCCAAAGATTTCATTTTTTCATCATATTATAATACTCGTACATGCAACTGTGACTTTACATAACTGAAAACTTTCATATTTACGGATATCTTACAATCCCTCAAGGACGTTACTTCATTAGATTTCCTGGAAATCTGGCATCGATAATCAAATCATCGCACGTGGTGAGAAGATGTTTATAAGTAAATTATGTAAATTTCTTGCATTAATTAGTCTGATGATGAGTCACCCAGTGGAGAAGGGCTGACATTTCCTTGCCAGAGATTTGTCACTTGTCCCCACAAGTGCTCCTATCACACTCAATCCTCTGCTTTTCAATTGATATGTCTAGAGTTGAATGTTCATTAATTTTGGCACTAGGCGGACAGTGAATTGAGAGGTGGAGGGTATCCTTATTTCAAATCTTCCGGACCCGCGGTTTGAATAGAATTATTAAGAAACGAATACGTGTGATCTACACTTGAATATAAAAACCATAGAGCCAACAGTGTTCGAACTAAACGTTGCTAAAGCAACTCGTAATACTTATCGCCGGAGGAACCTCCGCAATATAACGTCAATTGTATGTCCAGTAAGATAATCGAGAGTGCCTGTTTTTGATGCAGCGATAAGGGTTCGGGTTAAGGGGGTTGATGTAATTGTAGGCAAGCATTGCATGATGGTGTACTTCGGCAGTGATTGATGTTTGCCTCGGTTTAGGAGGGTGGGTTTAGGAATGGTTAGAAGTAAGGTAATAATGAATGTCCAGGCTGAACTGAACAAATATACATCTTCTCAACAGTTTTTTTCTTTTTGCTCATACATTGCAATAAACAATGAATTCAAAATTCAAACACGTGTATCTACTTTGTAGATGATGTTAACGATGATATGGTTAAGAAGTTTGCACGTTAGCACAAAAAAGGAATGGATAGCACAAGACTCATCGAAATCACTTGGAAGTCAGCGAGCGACTGACCTTGTACAAGAGACGGTTGCATGCATGATTGTGCTGTCGCTCGCGCTGCAGTTCCGCACCAATAGGAAACTATTTTTGCCTATAAAAATTTTTTACTCAAACTGTACTGATCGATGAACGCTGTGAAATTGTGATTAATTTAAAACTGAGGTTAAATGTTCTACAGCATGTTATGTATATATGTGTTTTACTAATGAATTATTGCTGAATATCGAATTTAGACTTCCAAGTTAGGCCTCGCAGAAGTGCAATAGAGAGAAAAATAATTTAAGGATTAAAGCGTGCTTATCCGGAGTGCGTATTATTAGCGACAAATTTTTTACAGTTAAATGCTTTAGTTAGATTTCTTAACAGAAGAGTTGCAGCATTAATGGATTTGTCCCAGATTGAAATAAAAAAGACCGTACAAAAGAATAACAAAGGTTATCTCACTGCTCGGTTTAGACGTGACAATTATTAATGTTTATTAAAACAACATAATCTTCGTGATAACCGTAGGTAGGCTAAGAAAATTCTATAAATATTTCATCGAGTATTCTTTACGCATATTTTCTTGCTCTTGCCTAACCGGAAAAACTTGATCCATAGCAAGATTTATTGCAGCAGCACGGCGGCTCCTGTCTTTAAAACAGACCCCATAATACCGACCCTACACTGGATGAAATGAGTTCGTCAGTTTGACTTATATCATTATATGAGCTAATCCGAGAAGCAATATGCTTGAAATAAATATTCCTTTAGCTAGTAACTTTATTTTGGTCATACTGGAATCTATTTAGCATTCATATTTGTTGGACTGAAAGGAGACATCGTTTTTTTTTGAACAAACTCAATGAATCTAACTACATTCTTGAGTGTATCGGTCAATACAGGGTGCGCCTCGTAGTCAACATCCCTCTACATAAGCTCCTCCAGCCGTAGTGTAACCGTCATGATCAGAGTCCCAATTATTGGACCCTCGATGTGTACGATCGTAGCAAGCCATTGGCCATTTATTTTTACCACCACATCCGTTCCCGTCTTCCGTCGTCTAAGACCTGACAGTCTAAGCCGTTTCATAACGCACTGCTATCTTATGAAAGAAACCTGCTGCTCACGTTCTGGGGCCATGTTATCACAACTCGCTTAAATTCACGTTGCGTCTAAGTACACGTAGCAGTCTAACTACACGTAGCGGCCGATTGCTCGTCTGTGTTTGGTGGATATAGCTTAAAGAAACTCTCAATGGTGCGCTGACGGAGACATCGCGCCGCTTTCAGAGATTTCACTGCCTGATTACTATAAGTGGAGTGATCATCTAATTTGGGAAGGAATATCAAAGAAGATGAGTCGGCTTGCGTTGACTTTCGGCGACTCGTAAGCTTATTTAACTGCCCCTTGCATCACCGGATTTGTAATAAGCTTCCAATTTGGCTTACCAACACACATAAATTTTTTACGAGCCCATTTTTCATATCTAACCAGCAATATATTTTGAATGCATCCTACACTGTAATTGAGAAGGTCTTAATTTTCTACATCGACAAATCTATTTTAAAAATATTTTACAGATTTTGATGATACAGTCACTGACATTTACATATTTACAGTTGGGTACTTCAGAATTGCCAGAAGTATTATTCCTCATGCCTGATTCAAGGAAATCGCAGGAATTTCCCCAATTGCGTAAGTGTCTGCGGCGTGACAAAACTTGGTCATCGCGAACGCATATAAAATAGTGTGTCTGCACGACTATAACGACGGTTGTGTCATGTCACGTGATTGTTAAAAGGAAGCCGGTGGGCTGTTATATTTCGTTGTTGCTTCAAGCAAGACATCATGTCTATGATATCATGTTTAAGCAAGACATCATGTCGATGATATCATGTTTAAGCAAGACATCATGTCGATGACATCATGTTTAGGTAAGACATCATATCGATAACATCATGTTTAAGCAAGACATCATGTCGATGACATCATGTTTAATTAAGCAAGACATCATGCCGATGTTTGAATGACGTTATAACATCGGTCGCCACTATACGTATTACTTCATCGTCTCGTAAACTCGAAATAACTCTCTGCACTGTTAACTTCGTATACGCTAAATAAAATCAGATAAGGATTTAAATTAAAGAATATGTTTCTGCTCAGGAAAATATTCAAATCTCAAATTTCATTTCCACAAACTTCATTTATAATAAATAGTTAATTTGATATTTTACAGCTTCATCCAAGCATTTTTATCATTCTGATGTGGATTATATCTTGCATTAAGTCTGATGTAAAATAATTTCAATTTTTTACTCTACATTAGATCTTTTCCTTTTACAAGCATTCAATAAACAGCAATAAAAAATGTAACAAATTTCTCAAGCAAGAATCGTTCATGCCTGAAGAGTTGCAGTGAAGCAGTTCTACACGAATTCATAAAACAATATTTTTTATGAATGAAATTCGTGAATAATTACTGGGAATTTCTCAAAAGGAAGCCCAGTCTCGGGATCACTCGCCGCCATTGCGCTCTATACTTGGTGCTGTACTGCTCGATGAAATGCATGCCTTTTGCGTGCAGAATTTCTTGCTCCTCTTGACTGCATGTCCGACACTCGCCTTCTAAGCCGAGCTTCAAGATCTCTCCTGAGAAGTAAATAAGTAATTATATGATGAGATTATATTAATTTATAGATTATATAAGTAATCTCATAATTATTTGAGACTAGCTGTTTCTCTTTTTTTTTTGCATAAAAATCAAGTTACTGATTCTGGAATATGCTGGAAATAAATCATATCATTTTTTGGATGAATAATAACCTGATTTACCTCTCACTAATCAACCCTTAATTGGATTAGAAATTAGAATCACCTTAATTCGGTTACAGGAGAAAATAAATTCCGCCGTAAATTCTAAACCAACATATCCAATTCGTAAATAATGCCACTGTGATGTTCGAATTCAGTATTCTATCAAAATGAGTTGCTGAATAAATCATGATGTATTGAACATGATTGATTTTATTTCATTTGCTTCGGGACGCGTTGTTTTCTATTTTGGAAATGTGTCTATAGATAATTAATCAATAGTTTTTTTGGTCAAGTCATACCTTCTTTGGTTCTGACATACTCACAACGCTACATTAATTTCTTTAGTTTATTCTTTCTTACTGATGAGGCTACGTGCAGGCCTTGAAGTGCATGACGTGAGGTCGAGGAAGCACTCGGTGAAGAGCTCGACGTCGCGCTGGTTGGATAAGAAAAAGTCGATGTCGCTGGTGCTGATGTCGAGCAGAGACACGCTCTCGGGCAGGTCTTCCAGCTTGCGTGGGGCCGGCCTGAGGGAAGAAGCTTGGCACAGCACTACGACTGCAATCAACACGGCTTGCATCATGACAGTGCGAAACTTTTCAAGCATCATCGTCAATTAATTATGATAAAACTAAATCCCGTGAATAATTGCTGTGAATGCAACGAGGATTTTAATAATTTTTTATTTGGTGTTTGCACGCATACTTGTTACTTTGAAGTACTTGGAATTTGTTCGATTAAATTTTTATTTATTCCCATGCACAATTATTCCATACTAGGAGAAAAAGTTTTTCAAGGTTTCACCTATACTTCTGCACTATTATCGCTAATAGATCAATTTCACTTCTGTATTCAACACTTTTGGCATCAACCTGTTTTGGGATAGCTATGCGAAAGAACGTTGAATGTCTCATAATATGTTCAATAGAGTTTTCCTAAACTACCAAATTCTTGGAAATTTTAAGGAACCAATTAAGTTCACCTTACAGCTATAGATTAAATCCAGCAAAGTTACTGACATCTTCTTCGTTCAAATAGAGCACAAGTGTGCCCGTTATTCCTCTAGCAGCCTTTATATATACGACACCGAGCGCTTCCCTGTTCCTACGTAGCATAAGAATCATCAAACTATTGGTTAGATTAAGCTGCCAGAAACCCAAAATATTTAGTAATATCTGTATTCGGCTCTGTGCTGCGCTTATTACTATCCAAGGTCAAATTTAATTTACTGCATGGCCCGACATTCATGTACGTAACGTATTTTACGCGCCGCTTCAACCGTAACTGTCATCCAGACTCGTGCATAAATCCACAACGGTTATTGGTGGATGCTTCAGCTATGACTGTCATCCTGACTCTTGCATAAATCCACAACGGTTATTGGTGGATGATTCAGCTATGACTGNGATTCAGCTATGACTGTCATCCAGACTCTTGCATAAATCCACAACGGTTATTGGTGGATGCTTCAGCTATGACTGTCATCCAGACTCTTGCATAAATCCACAACGGTTATTGGTGGATGCTACAACCGTAACTGTCATCCAGACTCGCATAAATCCTCCCATAGTGAATGGTGGATGCTACAATCGCAGCATGCCATCAGCTACCAACTGCTTTTCTAGCAATAGAAATGTTATTTGAAGACTAAATACATTTTAAGATTGAGTTTCAATTTTATGGCAAGAATACTCAAAAATAATGAATGCAGACAAAAAAAAACAATATAATCCATAATTATCCGACAGTTCGAGGAGTGGAATCGAAATGTTGTATCTATGTAAGGATCTAAATCAAGATCAAGCTTGCGAAATCTCAACTGTGAAATCTCTTCTTCATAGTTGAGACATGAACCCAGCAATTTAGTTTTATTTGCATTATTCTTATCATTTTGTATACTTTTCTAGCATGAAGCCACAAGAACTTTGGTATGATAGTGGAAATAGTAGAATTTGTTTATAACTTGTTAGATAAAATATTTTTCTCTCAGGTTTAAATTTTTGCCTATTTGATTACAATTATTGTGGACAACAATGGTTCACAATAATTTTCTGCCGTTTATTACAGCAAACTTTCATGAATCTACCTGAATATGATATGAAGACCAGTATCGTTTTGGGCAAAAATTTGACAATTACGATGCAAGGAAGGCTGCTGAACGTTCTTTAGAAGCAAAGATGGTGTCAAATTGACCTTGAGAATTGTTTGAAGACCGATTTTAGATTGAATGACTCGCAAATGTTGCTAGGCAGAGCTCGGAATGACTCAATTGTAAATCAAGCATTTGACATTTTGAAGTGTTCAATGAGACTTCTTTTACTTAAATCATGTTTCATTAAAATATAAATTAAGACTTAAGAGAACACCGCTTCAATTTCTACCTGAATTTTGCAATTTATGACCTCATGTACACTTCATAAGAATAGAATTATGAGCAGGAGTTCAGACCATCCTGTGTATTTAATATTCTTCATGAGGACCTTGCCTTCAGTTATTCGGTGAAGACTAAAATTGTGTTTAGTAAACAGAGTAAATTTCATGTCTATAGCTGCTATCTGTGATCAACGGCACTTAATTAAATCATTTTTGATCGGAATTCAGCAATGCCTAAACTTTTATCATGGTAAAATCGCGTTCTCATACGATAGCATTTTGGGTTCTGGCAGTTGAATTTGTTAACATAAATCGAACATAAAGAACGCTCTTTAGAATGGCTGGGTTTTTGGATACCATAAATAATTTGATGTGAGGAGAATATGAACACCAGTATTATTTTTTAAATGAAAACTTCGCTATATATATTAACTGCAAAACCAGCACGGTGGGAGGCGAGAAGCATAACCAGTTTTCTCCCGAAGATTGTTAAGGAAATTTACACACGCTGTACTTGTATCTGCTGTAATCAATTATAACACAATTTTTTGGCATTTTGATAGATTAACCGGTATTTTTAGCAGCAGTAAATAGTCAACATAATTGGTTGGGGAGAACGTCAAAATACAGCGCATAAACGCACCACAGACGTACCATACTGACAACAACGTCAGAACAATTGAAGTCAACATCAAGCAGCGAAATTTCCTTAATCGCTTATTCATCTTGCTTTCATCTCAACGGATTTAAATGTTACTCTCATACGTATTGTATAAATTTTAATTACGAATAACAAGCTTCAATAATGATAGTAAATTAAAATTCATTTACCGACTAATAAAAGCCGCCTTGCCAAGCTAACTGCGTCCTGTGAATAAATGTCCTTGGGCGACTAATTCACTTAAACAGGATATTTTAATTGGCCTAATGTAGTCAATTTTCCTCAAATAAAATAACATCCTTATCTCTTCGTTATCAGACGCAGCGGGCTTCTCTCCAAACTACGCAGTATAGCAAGATTCCTGTTCCTTTTTGACCAGGGATCTGGTATCAGAAAAAATGTGTTGTAAGTGATTTACATCACATTTACATCATATTAGAGATTTACTTCACTATTTGCATGATTTTGTATTTATTTTGATCCAAATTTCATCACTCAATGCGTCTTTTAACTTGATAATGAAAGATTAAAACATGCGAAACGTCGTTAACGAAATAAAAATTTCCATCGGTACCCTGATTTTCGATTTACCAGTGCAAACGAAAAATATTGATCGATATGTTGAAAAAAATAATAAGAAATTTGTCAGTAAAATAAATTCTCTGGTTTTCAATGAAACTTGCTTAAAGGAACAAAGTCTGCCAAACTATACTAAGTAATAACCATGCATGAATGTCTCAAAACCTGTATATTTCCATTCCTCCGACTAACTAGGCCTTACAGGTTTCTTCCGCGATCAAAAATGAGGGAAATTGATCAGCTGTGAAATTAATGGATTCATGAACAATAAATCAGCGAGAATGATTGAGAACAACACAATACACAAGACTGACGATACAGTTGCAGCTTAGACGTGATGATAAGCGATTAGTATTTAAATTAGGAACTGCGGGGCACCAAGAAACGACCGATGTTGGGTACGATGGAGCGCCAGTATCTAGGATACCGAGTGATGAACTTCTGGATGAACTGGTATATCATGTTGTCCAGGTGGTCCTGCTCCTTGGGGGTGCAGCCCTTGCACCTGCCTCCAATGCCCAGCTCCTGGAGTTGTTCTTGAGAAAGAAGAAATCAATTGTTTTCATTATATTGAAGCTGCTAAATTCAATGGAGATATAAATTGGCTGTTAACTGTAATGCCAGAACAGTGACTTATAATTTCGAACTAATTACAAAATATAACTCAGTATTCACTGCAGTGAGTGACAGAGAGCGCATTTTCTCGTCGACGAAAACTTGAGGTCACGGACGGACGGACAGACGGACGGACAGACAGACAGACGGACATGGCGAGCACAATAGTGCATTTTTTCCATAAATGAGAAAATGCGCTAATAACCGAAATTTAATAATGTATCTTTATTCGTCACAATAGCACAAGTAAAAATTTGTTTGTAAAAATTCGTGTCCATTTCCGTACATCAATTTTATAAATGGAAATTTTCCCAACACTGTGGAACTTGTGGACATTTGCAGATTTTACGCTTGAAATATTTATGAATTTTTTTTTGTGCCTAACATGTGCAGGGCATGCGAAGTCGTTGTGTTCCATAGCGAAATTGCTTAGTTTTTTCCTTCATAGTATGTAAAAAATATTTTATTGTCATTTTGTTTTTTCTTCATTATACGTGAATAATCATTTATTGTAACTTTTATTCTTTATTATATGTAAATACTAATTTATTGTCATTTTTTCTTTATTATATGTAAATAATAATTTATTGTCATTTTAACTTCCAAAAACGTTACTCACTAATTAGATTGATAGCGTGAGTGTACCGGCAGGTTTTGAAGTTTTCAAAGCATCTGGTGAGCAAGATGACATCCTCCTCCGATGCCAAGAAGCTTTCCAATAGCTCGGGTGTCATCTGCGTCAGCGGCACATTGTCAGGGTAATCTTTGAGTGAAATTTTGCCTGCAGTTGACGACGCCTTCGTTTGTCCTGCGGGTTGTTGCGGTTGGTTGGTCGAGGTAGGCCTGGTTTGTTGTGGGGTTCCTTGTCGTTGATTATTATTTGGATCTGGTAACCTTCGGGCGGGACTGACGGCTTCGCTTGTGCGACTTTGTCTCTTAACTCTTGCCGCGAGAAGTAGATTACCTTGTGCCACAGTAGGAATAGATAGCGATGCCATGCACAAGGCCGTAGCCAACGTAAATGACAGTGCATTCAACTTCCTAGGGAAAAAATAAAAATTAATGCAGTTAGTTTACTTATCGAGCATGTTAAGACTCATTACGATTTCTATGAGATCAAGATTATCATGGCTGTGAACATAAAACTATACTTTCACACGTCAAATTTACTAATAAAAAAATTGTAGTTATATATTAATCATATGAGGAAGTTTATAACTCAAGTAATTTCATTATTTTTCCTCGTTATGGGAGCTCATTTCCATCAAAGAACAAATAAAAGTTACATAGAATTTCTTTTCATAAAACATTAAAAAACAGTCAGTCATTAATTGGCCTTCATGTTTTAAGTTCAAGAATTGAGAATGAATTCTACACCGTCTATTGTATTGTCAAATTTCCAACAATAACGTGGTGAAATATTTAGTTTTAAGAATTCCTTCGTTACTTAATTGTCAACTTGGTAGTCTGCGTAAAAGGAAAAAAATATAGGATTTAACGAGTAAATTCTTAAATAAAATTGAATTGAAAACACCACCAAACGACCGAATGCTATCACATAGCAAAAAAAAACATACTCACATCGTTAATAATAGCAATGGACACTCCTTAATGAAGTCAAATTATTTATGTTTCCAATGGTTCTTGTTTGGTTTCTTTCGTTGTCAATAAATGATCTGTCGAAGTTTTAAAAGCAACAAACGCTTGGGATTTCCTCTGTTGTAGCTGAACGATAGCCACCGTTGACGGCAAAGGTTCACGTGGAAATACGAGACCTCGCTCGATGCCCACCTTTTCTACATACCAAGGATAGCGTGTTTCCCTTGATACTGACGCCGACCTACTGAAGACGAGGTCCAGCGTGTTGTTCGACGCACTGCTCGATGACGACCTTTGTTGAGACGAGGTCCAGTGGGGTGCGCTTAATGCTGACCTTACTTTTATGAGACGACTTCCAGTGTGTTGCACAGTGCTCGATGTGTTGCACAGTGCACAGTGCTCGATGTCCACCTTACTGGAGACGATGTTCTCAGTGTTGCACGAGACAGCGCTCGATGTCCACCTCACTGGAGACGAGGTTCTCAGTGTTGCACGAGACTACGCTCGACGCCCACCTTACTGGAGACGAGGTTCTCTGTGTTGTAGGAGACAGCGCTCGATGTCCACGTCACTGGCGATGAGGTTCTCAGTGTTGCACGAGACTACGCTCGACGCCAACCTTACTGGAGACGAGGTTCTCTGTGTTGCACGAGACAGCGCTCGACGCCCACCTTACTGGAGACGAGGTTCTCTGTGTTGCACGAGACAGCGCTCGAGGTCCATCTTACTGGAGACGAGGTTATGTGTGTTGCACGAGACTATGCTCGATGCCCACTATACTTTTTTGAGACGAGGGCCTGTTTGTCAAGGGTTTTTTATGAAGTGCGCGGTCTTTCATTATCCACATTGCCAACTGCCGTAAAATACAGGCTTGATTGTTGGACACTTACAAAGCACGACAGTGACATGCAAGTCTCTCTTGAGCACATTCTGAAAAAATACACGTGTAAACATGAGTGATGAAGCAATAGCTTTTATCATTCGTGCGCTAAATTTATTTAATTTAATTTAAGGGAACTGCGAGGTGAAAGGTAATGCAACCACTAAGGTAGTAAAAGCATTGTTGGGACAACAGTTTCTAGTATAAATTATTTCGAAAAACGTTAATTATTTTATTTTTTATGTGATTGCGGCACTTTTGACTTCTGCGGGGTTTATTTATAATTAATCAGACATTATTGTTTATTATGTCTTCCAGCTAGGCAGTAAACAAATACTAAGGTTCTAAGAACCAGAACCAATATCGAGAGCCTATATAATTTGCTAACACGTCAGCAGCATGATGCGCTGCGTTTCATAGGCGGATAGCGCTTAGCTAAATTAATTACCAAATGAATTTGATCCCCTCAATCAAAAACCGTAGAGCCGTAGCATAGATTAATAGTTTGCGAAATTGATAGCATTTCTTAATGTAAGTGACTACAGAATATTCAAAATTCAAAGTTTAATGCAACCAATAATACCGTTCTATAATAATTCCTAACAAGTAACATCAGATATGATTTTATTTATGCTCGCTGCATAAGAACTAAAGACACTGACAAAATTTTCCAAGCAATTTTTTTTATTAACAATGATTGACAAAATCCCAACTCAAATATTTTCCACTGTATATTGCAAGCTGGTACATAGATATTACTCTGTCTTCGTTCAGATTTTCACAAAGTTTGAGGAAGAAGTTCAAGTTCATCCTCGACGAAGAAATTTACGCACCACTTAAGTTACGGCTGAAGCTCCTGAGTGTCTTGCTATGTTAGGTGCGAAGGCCAGCGATGTAAGAAAAATGGCGTACCAGTGCTACGTGCTGAAAGGGTGTCAATATTTAGGTACCTATTTGATGCATACATTTACATGTGTGCATGGGGACACAAATAACAGATATTTTCTAAACGCTCGAGCAGAACGTTTAATATCTCCGGGATGAAAACTATCCTGATCTTGACAGTTGCTCGACTTTTATAAGTTTAACGTGATAGTTCGAAGCAAGCAATCGAATTGATGATAATCAGGTTGCAGTTTATACATTGTGAGAGCAGGCTAACAATTTTGTCATAAATAGATTGTAATACATATATCAAGAACTATAACTTTGGAAATCTGGATTTAAAAACAGCCAGTGTAAGCAGTGATAAAGTTTTGTACACAAATATTTTCGACAAATTTTCAACTAATCCGGCTCAATTTCTGCAATGGAATTAATGTAAAAATAACAACGCGAATAACGAATTATTTTTTTAATACAGTGTTTGATTGGCCTCTTGACCTTGGGCTCATATAGCATCTAATTTTGTGCCGGACATTAGTGCTGTGAAAATCAGCAGCAGATTTGGAGTAGAAATTGTTTTTGCCCAAAGTTATCCTCCAATCAGACAGCTTTATGCAATGTGGCCCTTCGGGCCAAGCTACGATTGCCTCCCGACAGTAAAGCAAAAAAGTTCCTAAGACGATTATTTTTGGGGAGCGGATTCAAGATTCTTACTGCGTGCAGTTCTGACATTGAGACGTAACTGTTCAAAAGGGTTTACATTACTTATTTTTTCTAGCCCGTTTCGGTTCTGGTATTGTAGGGAAGAGTCATATCCAAATTTTCTTTGCGTTACTCTTTTAAGTTTTTCAAAGAAAAATGTACGAAAATTTTCGGGAGCTCATCTTAATTAATATATTGATTTGAGTCATCCGATACCAGGACCATTAATATCTCTATAGTTATATTAATTATATAGCAGAGGGATTCATGCACTGTCATTATTGTTATTTTGTTACTTTTTTGGACCATTTGCAAGTTGCAAGTTGAACTGCAGCGCGCGCTTTTTTGTCGACAGCTGCCATCCATTTCGCTTGTTCGGCTTCTCGGATCAGAGGTTCTGCCAGAATGAAACGCGGATTGTTGGCTGTCATTGTTTGAAAATCATGATCCTAGTCGTAGCACATTAGGCTGGAATATTCAATTTAAAAACTGCAGGTTTTTGTTATACAAATGCAAAAATGTTTGAAAAATTATAAATACCTAAAAACTTTTCAAACACCTTTAACTAGACAATTCTTATCGCAATGTCAAAACAAAGAACCGTCTAGCCTTTCGTACAATAGTAACTGTAATGTTTTTTCATCGCTAATAAAATTAAAATAATGGAAATTTGAATTTGATATGCGTAAATTTACGTAAAGAAATAAAAATATTAGATATGTTACTTACATAAACATTATTTTACGTTAAAAAACACTTACATACCTCCTGAAGTCCTGAACCGCGCGAATGCCGATTTAGACGCCGTCAGAAAAAGTGACATTAACGTAATTTCGGAATGCATAAAACTTTTTTTTCCCTAAAACGTCCTTTAAATTAGTCTAACTGTGACCCATTCCATTCATGCTGTATGCGTTTTAAATAACTACTGACTTAGCTACAGTTATTTCGTGGTACTTGTTTCAGATTTTTACAAAGCAACCATGTAGTAACACAATTAGAAAGATTAGCGAATTTATGATACATATTTTGGCTATTGATTGAACGTCTTTTTATCTACACAGTCAAACAGCTGTTATAAGGAATAAAATTTATGCGGATTCCATTGAATGAAGGCAGCCCAATCCAACACTGGAGATTCAGCAAACAATTGTTCTGGCCTATTTTCTATATCGTCATTTAAAGAAAATAGATAATGTCCCATTCTATGCTTGGGTAACTACACTATCTTTGACTGCTCAACCGCCGCTTCATTTGCATTTCAATTGCATTTCATCGTCACCAATACTATATTATAATTTTTAATGTAATTTTAATTTCAAAAATATTTCGGGACCATTCAACTCTGCAAAAAGTTTATCTTGATGATTGTAAATTTTGATAACTAAGTCGATCCCAGTTTTAAATTTAAATAATGCTTTTTCGAGCGGGTAATTGATTATGATGCAGGACCACTTTGCTGGAAAAAGAGCTATATATTTATATTGTTGATTACTATACGCAATTACTTGGACATTACACGATGGATCTAAAAAATGTATCGCCGTATGAAGTTCCAACAAAAAGTAGACTGAAAAAAAAACAGACATTGTTAAACCTAATTTTACCGCTTTTGTGACGATAGTCACTAAGCCATGATGCTTTACAAAAGAACGGAACTGAAGCCCGGATTTACCAATGCGTGAACATATCTACGTATCATTTCTGACACCTGAATTTCATCATGACGGATTGTTCCACATGGAATTCATTCGCTTTGAAATTATCCGTATTGAGGTGGCGAAATCATTATTACAACTTAGAAACATCATTGTTGCTTAATAATGATGAGTCAATCCATTTAAGATCAGCAACAAATGACAGTAAAATATCCTGCTGCCCGGTGTCAATCTGGCGTCTCATTATAATCATTATAATTATATGTAATTGGGACGTAATATTCACTTGACCTGATAAAGATTAATGACATGAGTCAGCATCTGGAAGACATCACGTGATAGATCACGCGATCAAGACCATTATTGTGGGCGGAAGCTGAAGGCTATATAAGGGCTGGTAACCTTAGTAAGAGCCTAGTGCAGTAGTTGATAAGCGCTCCGCAATGTAACGCGTCGGTTGAGTTCTCCGACTTTATAGCTTATACCTCTGTATCTTATCTTATGTATAACCACCCCGTATATCAAGATATGTTATATAGACAGCTGTGCCTTACTTATCCTTCACGACCTTAGTCACGTAACCCGATCTTCAGGTAGAGCTTAATCAATGAGCTCTGACAGTCTGACCCTGCAATATGTTTTACTTTCAACTTCGCTTCACATGAAACACCTAAATAAATTAATGAAGTCCCTCCAAAACCTGTTTTTTTTTTCATCGCCAGCATTATGATTTTATTATTCATTAGCAGATTGAGTAAAATGTTCGATGCAATCTATTAAGATTTTGATGCTAAAATTATGTTCAGCACCACGACTATGAAGACAATAATAGCTATTATCATGATTCCTTTTAAGAAACCCGTTGGGACCTGCTGAAAGTTGAACGATCTAGATTTTATAAATAACTTTTTCCAAAGACCAAAAGTCAGAGAACCTTTAATAAACTTATGAAATGAAATCCTAAATATGAAGAGCAATTAAATACCGAAACCAACTGATAATCACCAAATGGATATCAACTAAATTTTGTAGTTTCAGAGATCGCCTGCACATATCAGGTCATCAATTAGGATAAAGAAAACACAAAAATGAATAGGTCGTATTGCCTAAATAGGGACACCGAAAGTCTTATCCACATCACGAGCAGAGAGCGGAAATAGCACTGATGCGCCATTTTGCCGTGTCAAAACAGCTCAAGATGACCCATTCAGGTGGAAAATTTTTATATCTATTTGTAAAATGTCTTACTCATTCACATGAGTTATGCATGTTCCATAATTTTAGTGATACGAATAACAGGTTTGTTGTTCGGCGTTGTTCAGTTCTGCAAGACGTGGGCGATGTAGGGCTTGACCTGCTCGAACTGCGCGGGGTACTTGGTGCGGTAGCTCTCCACGAACAACTTCACCAGCGCGTTCATGTTGCTCTGTTCCGCCGCGCTGCAGGGGGCGCAGCTCCCGCCTGCTCCCAGGCTCAGGATTTGTCCTGAAATGTGTTACTAAAGTTACTCTGAGTTGATAAGTTGTACAATTTATGACCTCCTGTAAACAGAAAAGAATATCCGGTAAATTTTCAACATTATATCGATTCAGTGAAATGAATGTATGATTTTTTCGACCTTCCACGAGATTCAAACGATAACTTAAATTTTTCAGAGGAATCAGAATCAATTAATTGTTAAAATAAGTCAGAAAGAAAATTGACATCTGTTCTACAATATAAAAGGAAGTAGGTAGATGAAATATTTCTGTAGAATGCGTAAATTTTCTTCCCGATTATAGTATTAAAAGTTATATGATCGATGACTGACTTGTGAGACTGGCGGCCGTGGGGTTAGGACAGGCGGCGAGGTTGGCGAAGCAGCCTGTGAGCACCCGCACCGAGTCTGCGTTGTTGAAGAAGCGCTGCATCTGCGCAGGCGACAGCTGACTGATCGCCTGATTCTGCGGCAGGCGGTCGAACGAGCCTGGCGGCGGCTGATTCTGGCCAAAATAATCTCATTAAATAATCTCAAAGTTCCAGATAAGAGCTATTTGAACAAGTTTTGCAAATGACAACTCTCAAGCCCAAACGCAAGTGTTTGAAACTTGAATTTTACAAATAATAATAGAATCTAGAATTGGAAGCTCACATATACATCTAAAATTAGTGGAATTTTGAATAAATGATATAATTAGTCGTTATACCTAAACAGTTGAACAATTGCTGCTGAACTGAAGACAAAGAAATTACATGACGAAGATCTCGTAGACAGAAATTTGTAAATAAACTTCGGGCGGAGCGCAAAATAGAGTATTTAAATTACAAATTATATGAATAAAGTGCAATTGTAATCTGACGACGTATGATCCAGCAAACAATTTGTAGAGACAAACTGCGGGTAAAGTTTTTATCATAGCATCACGATGAGTCTTTCTGCGCACTCATTTTCCCGGGAGAATGAGAGACTTTAAGGGCTTAAGAGATAAACAACAAAGAACAATTATGAATAGTTTTCAACATCAATGATACAGCAAACAGGACACCGATGTTCGTGAGAAAGCATTCAGTAAATTATTTGTAGACTTAACAGCTGAATACAATTGGATCCGGAAGATTGAAGTCCCTCAAAAATTGGATTTTCTGAATTCATGTAGACTAGATAACTTGAATTCTGGTTCGTGAACTTCTGCTATAATGACAGCATCGAAATGTCATTATTATTGTCTCAATCCCATAATACATACTTGCTACTTCAACGCCATACGTTGAGATGAAATTTGGAGAGGGACCAATTTATTAAAAATTTTGCATGTTTTATCGCGTATTTATGACCGTTAATTAGAAACGATTTGTATATTTTAATCATTTTTTTCTTTCATTTGTGTTGTGAACTCACCTTTCGCTGGGAGAGGGCTGGTGCAGCCAGGATTATGGCGACGATGCAAATGAAAGCCTTCCTGAAAATGCAAAAAGAAATTTGACATATACCGAAAAAATATGAGAGAAATCAAATAATTTAGGCACTCATCACAATATTGGAGCTCAAATTCTAGTTTAAATTATGTGTAGGGAAATAGTACAAAAACGATCCCAGCCACAATATAATAAAATTTATATCAAAATAAAAGTACATGTTATCATTTTTCAAAAAAACGGGCTCACTACAATATTTATCTTCATGAATAATTTCAAATAATCAATTTCCTTATTGTTTTCTCATATTACATGTTGCTTGTGCAGCTGATGGCGGCGAACTGAAGTCCTTGAGGCTTTTCGATGAATTTATCCGCAGCACCAGAGGCCCTGTTTTTTTACATATGGCAGTGAATACCTACAACGATTGATAAGAACAAGAGAGCATTTACCCAACTACAGCAGCTAGTCTTCTTATTGTTTAAATGTTAGTTATTTTTCAACAGTTTCAGATGGTGATTAAGATTTAAGAGACATAATAGTTAGCTTTTCATAGATAAACTGGAATTTAAAATACATTTCAGGATAAAAACATGTTACGCCTTCAAAGTTGTGTAAAAAAATAATCTACCTTTAAAAATTACATTTTAGAGACAACACTTCTAAAGAATCCAGTGTCTCCAATGTTAAAGATGTACAATGAATTTCTCATTTTATTTTCGAATATTAAAAAATTAATTTATAATTTTTTAAAATATATAACAAAATTCAAAATTATTTCTTCTGTTAATTGATTCATGCATTGCCTCCGACTTCACACAAGTGTGCAGCATTTCGGATCAATCGGACAGGTAAAAGTGAGTCAAATATCAGTTATAAGATTTGTAGCTGACAAAATTATTTTTTCAATTTTTTAATACTGATAAATGAAATGAAATTTTAAAATCATTCATTTTGTCATTTGATTCTTGCATTGTCTCTAGCTTTACGCAAGTGTGCAAAATTTCAGATCGAAAGGATAAGTAGAAGTGTGTTAAATTTCGATTATTAGATTTGTAGCAGACAGACAGACAAACAAGAAGTGAAGTTAAAGAGAAGTGTTGCAAATTTCACTTATTCCAAAAGGCATCTAATTATATGTTTTAAATATATATATATATATATATATATTAAAAAATATTGTAGAATTATTTCATTATCATGTCGACTTAACCTTGAAATCTCCATGAAAATTTTGCAAATCATCCAAGTGATCATTAGTTCTAGTGAAGCGGATGCACAAAGAACATATTGTAGAGGAAATAGATTTATTGCTGATTTTTAAGTTGCAATGTATTGGGTTTAGGATTTTGATTTTGTCATTTGTAGTTTTCAATCACCTTAGCCGTGACCTCCAGCAACATTGCGTTTTACCTGTCATTGTGTCTTGTGTTCTTGCCGTGGAGGTACGTTAATCGATAGTTCTGTGATTATATTCGTGTTTGTTCAATTTTAGAGGTGAATAGTTTCGTGTTATTGATTATTTGTGCGTGTTAATTTGTTTGTTTAATATATATTCATTCTTTAGTTAGTTATTTCAAGCGTTTTCAGGAAGGCCTCGATGTTCGAACTTGATACATAAGCCCAAGTTATGAACTCTATATTTGGACGTGATTAGTGAATTGAAAGTGAATGAACGCACGGTTAAAGTCAAGTTAAAGTGGTTAAAGTCAAGTTAAAGTGGTTAAAGTCAAGTTAAAGTCAGGTTAGGATTAGGGTGTTAGGTTTGTTGTGTTTTGTTTCTATTTATTCATTTTTAATTATATTTACTTGAAACTGTTTATTCATTGAAGAAAATCCTTGCCCTTGAAAAGTTTATTAAAGTCTTAAAGAACGATCACGTGCTATGTGTCGGGGAGACGTTAGTTTGACAAGAGATAGTCCCCCAACAATATCATTTGATCAAATTTATCAATTTGATCAAATTCTCTTGCCACAAACCTGTTCGAATACGGATCCAAAAACTAGTTTAAAAATCACCAAAAAGCTCTTAAATCTTGATAAACGAAATGAAACAATCATCAAAGTATGATGATGCAACCATAATGTCATTTACTTTTTTGTAGAATGAAACTGATGCTTCAGATTTATCTCTGAATGCGCGATTAATGTATTAAAGTTTTAGACATAGAAGCGATTAAACCGAGAAACTGGGCCTATAGCCGGTTCTAAATTGCAAAATTCTCGTCCGCCAGCTAACCTGGAGTACGATCAAAAGTCTGCACCAGTTTTTGTGAGCATGCAGGTATCAAAACCGGACAATTTTTTAGCCCGTTCTCCTTGAAAACGTCCCAACATCTCTTCAAGATTTAAATCTTAAGTAATTATAGCGACTAATTTAGGGTTAGACTTGAAGGATGCATGTTATCCGTGTTACAAATTCTGGATGAAATATTTAAAACTTCATAATGAGAATAATGATAGTGAAATTCGTTTTATCGTTATTCGTCGATAAAATATTGTCCAGGTATTCATAATTTCTCTTAGTTGTCGTGAAATTTCTACTCTGATGCATCCTTGTTAAATAACTTCAATAACTTGTTAACTAATAACTAAAGAAAAATTCGTTACACCATCGATGAGTTTTCTACATTCAATAAATTGAAACTGAAAATGAAAACTAAAACTAAATTTTATTCCAGCGATATTTTATGTATATAACTAAATCGTAAATGGTATTTGAGGATAATATTCAGCATTTGAGTGATGAACTCAGAAGAATATTTAATTGAAGGAAGGATGGCAACCCTGTTCTCCAGGGGCGCAGATAGCGCCCTGACCGTACTGCCTCTTATTAAATTAGTGAGGCGAATTGGCCTGAAACGAAACTAAAAAAAACTTTTACGGCAATCTTTATAAAATAATTTTAATTTCCTTGAGGGAAGGAAATCCAGGGAACTGAGGTAACTAAACTGAATGAATGAAAAACGGCGGAAGGAAAATAGTGAAAAGGATACATATTTCATAATCTCTACAGAGTTATTTTCTATTAATATTGTTAGAGATCGAATGTCTGGTTCAAATATCATGAAAATTTATCATAATATGAAATATATATATTCGTTTCTTTCTGGATTACATTGAAAACAAAATCAATTCGTCGCTGAACATAATCCATACAACACTCAAGATTCCCATTAATGACAGAAACGAAAATATCTTTTGTATTAAATCTGCATAATAATCGCTGACATGCAGTAATATAAAAGACAATTTTGATGGTCAAAGAATCTTTTTCTTCAATAAATCCCAAACTTGCATTTACAGAAAACCAGGTTCTGCTGTCTCTGAAACTTGTCTCCGAGGTTGTGACAGCATTTTGTTGTGGTTGAGCGAAGCTATCCTCTACGGTTGACGTGGCAGTTGTGAGGAACCGCACAGATGCGCTGTCCTCCAGAATATGTCCAGATCCTCGAGGGTGACATACGAGGGAAATCATTATTGAATTCAATCACTTCATTCGTAATAACAGTATCGATCCTAACCTCAATACCTATTGTAATCGCAAGCATCTTCTAAATCTTTCTCTAAATTTTGCATACAATAAGTCGTTCCTCTGAGGAAATATTCTTGAGTAATAGTTTACTTAAAAACTTAAAAATATTATTGGATTTATGAACATAGTAAATGATTTTAATTTATTCACCTGAAAAAAGTGTACGTTCATGTCATGATCATACAAATAACATTTGTGAGCATATTTTCTTACGTTCTTAGCAGCCATTTTGAAATCACTACTACCTTTTTTCCCTAATTGAGTGTAACTATATTCTAAATAAAACCTAACAATAATTAGTGGTTGGCATAATAGACTAAAATGCTTTTTTCCTAAAGGGAGATAATTCATATTTTGAATTGCATTACTGAAATACTTTTTGGTGTACCTCCGCTGTTACAGCGTGATTTCAGTCATGTGGAAACCAGGTCCTTGGCTATAATAACAGAGATAAATTTTAACCCACCTTAATATATTCAGTTTCATATGATGTAAAATAATTATTAACATATTTCAAGCCCAAGTATTAATGATGAATATACATTACATTTCTTTTTAAATCAATGCATGACCCTAACAGTCGTACTTCAAGCACAGACGCAGTGCAGTGAGGTTTTGGATTAAAAAGAAATTGTTCGAAAGCAATGCAGAGAAACCAGTTAACATGTAAGAGTCGTAGACAATTAAAGATAATACCGTAAAAACGGCTCGGTTGTTGACCGGTATCCATTTTTTGTAGTTATAAAAAACTAAACCAATGATTTTCCTTTGGTCTATCATTATTTCTCCATTAACCGAAGATTTGATGCAATTAATTTTTTTAAAACGCCATAAGAAAGCAAATGCAGTATAATTACCTGATATTATGATCCAAACGAACCAACCTGTTTTCAGTGATCAATAAAATCGCCATGGAATTAAATATTAGTAAATTTCATGATTTAAGGTTTGAAAATCTCTTTAAGGGTTACTTTTATAAGGGCAAATTAAAAAAATTTTAATATATAAGTACGATCGATGTCTTGAACGTTGAGTTCAAATGCCCAACACAAATTGCCTCCATTAAGATATCGAGAACCTGACACCGACATTTTTTCTTCCTGCAAGCACGCAGGAGCTGAGACTGTAATCTGGACCGACCAAACTGCATACACCCCACACATAAAAACATGACCAAATCCCCACAAAAACGACCAAATCCCCACACATAAAAACATGACCAAATCCCCACAAAAACGACCAAATCCCCACACATAAAAACTTGGGCCTAGGCTTACCTCAAGCGGGGAACCGGTGATCAGTGCTTGAATGTTATTAGTCTTCATAGTGATGAAGGCCAAAGTAGCCAGTAATTGAGAGAGCCTGATGAAGGCTATGCGATCTGGACACTTGGTTGTTTATGTCCCGTCGTTGTCCTTGAATTTCATGTGAGCAAATTTTCATCGTCATTCTTTTCCCAAACTAATATCAACCATCTTCAGAAATACCATCAAAATTTCGACGATACTTTGATTGCATTTTTTGTAGTTCATCAAAAGTAAGCCATATACGCCAAAGTTGGGAGGTATAATTGGTGTGGATTGCTGATGGTTCTTATAAGGCGACTTCATATTATCACAAAATTGGAGACCTCCAGTTTGCTTTCTCAATTCCATGACTGAAAATGGCGCATGAGTCCAGTAAGCGTTACAAAAAATAGCAGTCCACGTCTTTTCAGTTACAATTGTTTAACATTTTACGCAATCACTAAAATATGAATCATGAATGTGGTCTTGAAAATCAGCTCAAACTGTAATATTGTTGATCTTCCTACTGCAATCGGGCCCTGGACGTGGTGGTAAAACAA